TACATATTACTCAATTTCCCCGACTCGCACATGACTCGGTCTGGACCGGGGTTTTAGCCCCAAATTATCGGTAATATTGGGATTTATTTTTAAGGGTTTATTTTTTATTCCTTTTTACTTTTTCTTTATTTTGGTGTTTGGGGAAATGCCCCTAAGTACGCATTTATGTTAGTTACACCTGTTGTTTTGAAGATGAAAAATAATTTTATTTGTTTTCAAAACTTTTAGGAAACCGTTAAACCCAAATACTGAAACTTTGGTTTAAAATGTTTGTAGTCTTTTCAAAACCGTGGGGGCTCCAGATTTTAGTTTTTTAGTTGACATTTTGGTAATGCCCCCCCCTTTAACCCCCCCGCCTAAAATATTTAATTTCATTGTACATGGGAAATGGGCAAAATACAGCAACAGTTGTGGAAAACCTTGTGAAGACTTACAGAAAACGTTTGACCTGTGTCATTGCCAACAATGGGTATATAACAAAGTATTGAGAAACTTTTGTTATTGACCAAATACTTATTTTCAACCATAATTTGAAAATAAATTCATTAAAATCCTACAATGTGATTTTCTGGAATTTTTTTTCTCATTTTGTCTGTCATAGTTGACGTGTACCTATGATGAAAATTACAGGCCTCTCTCATCTTTTTAAGTGGGAGAACTTGCACAATTGGTGGCTGACTAAATATTTTTCTTCCCCACTGTATATATATATATATATATATATTTTTTTAAAAAGTGTTTGGAAGACCTTACAGAATGCCACAGTTGGCAGGACCAGAACAGGCAGACATAGAACTAGAGAATACACTAGCAGAACACATGAGAAAATTGTTCATTAACCGTATGTCTAAGAATTTGTGTCCTACAGGAGAATTAAAGGAGAAGGTGATTCATAGTATATAACCTGGAGACTGGGTGTGGATCCAATCGTTGAGGAACAAGGATTGAAAGCAGTCACGCTGGGAGGGACCATACCAAGTCCTATTGGTAACTGCCTTCGCTATAAGAATAGCTGAGAGAGCCACTTGGGTCCACGTTACCCACTGCAAAAAGGTAGGCCCACATACCAACACCGTTGAACACACACAGAGTTAAAGAGAAGAACTGACCACTAGGGTTCGGGGGTAAACTCTGTTAACGAAGAAACCCTACCCCGACCTTTCATCACTGTGGGGTGTTTATAGAGGTGTGGGTATGGGGAAGTACCAGGCAGGTGGGTCAGGGACAGGATTGGGATGGCGGTTTTGGGGATTTTGGGGGACTCTGAGCTGCATCATCATGTTAGCCATATTATGGATTAATCCAGGTCAACCTAACAGGGAAATTATGCACTGATTCGATCTCGTAGAAATACTGAAACCAAGAAAGGCTATTGGGGGAATGATTATTTTAATAGTTAAAGTCAGTTTAGGACAAGATGGGGGATTCAAGATACCATTCGACTTCTCCCATGAAGAGATAGGAGGTTTTGGGGGCTTTGGTAAGAAGGGGGCGTGTACAAGAAAGTTAGGTCCTAGAAGGTATGGTAAATACATTTGCACTGGGGAAAGCTCATGTCCTTGGGCAAGGGTGTTTATACATACCTGGGGAACATACTATGAGAATAGAATGGACGCAGTACACCGATGGGGAATTAAACAAACCCATGATAAATGTAAAACGGAACTGGTGATAACGGTAAAGTAAATTATGCAAGATGACATAGCAAGGAACTATTGGGCCTGTGTTGATGATTTCGGGGCAGATATATGTTTGAGGTAATGAACCAAGGAGTAGAAGGAATTTCAAATGAGAACTTCTGGGTAAGGTGGATGAACTACACAGCTAGGGTGTTGGGTCAAACTAATTGTTATGCCTGTTCAACAGGTAGGCCAACCCTTCTAACTGCACCTATGCCTCAGACCATGTTCTCTTGTGTGATAGATTTGGGATCAAACCAAACCCCACCTAATTGTTCTGATATTAAAATAACCACTCTTAAAAAGGATAATACTAAGGCACCCCAATTCACCATGAACCCCAGAGATTATCAATGTTATAGACACCAAAGTAATGCGAATCACAGATCAAATTGGAGAAGGGTTTACAACAACGTTTTTCTGGTGGTTACAATTGATAAAAATGTTGACTGGATTAATTACATCTACAAAGGTTTGTTAATTAGACAAGGGATGCAGTGAAGAGAATCTCAGGTCAACTATCAGCCACCTCACTCATGACCTGCAGAATAGTTTGGTTCTCGAAATGCTTTTAGCAGAGAAGGGCGGATTTGCAAGATGGTGGGAGGTCATTGTTGTATGTTTATCCCCAACAATACAGCCCCAGATGGTACAGTAACTAGAGCACTGGCAGGTCTAACTGCATTAATTAAAGAATGGGCTGAGAACTGGGGGGTGAATACATCAATGACTGGTTGATTTGATAACATTTTTGGTAAATGGAAAACTATTGTTGTAACTATTCTGCTATAGCTTCTATGGGTATACTTGTTCTTTGGGGATGTTGTCTTATTCCCTGTGTCCGAGGGTTGGTGAGCAAGGCGTTGGAGGTGAGCAAGGCGTTGGAGAATGCAGTATCACAGCAGACGGTGAGATACAGCCCAATCCCGGACTCCGACCAACCGAATGAAGAATATGACCCACCAGGCTTGGTGGAAGATGATGACTATTCAGATAGTTTGAGACTGGATGTTTTCCTAGAACTATAAATCTCTAGTTTAAAAGTTATTGTAATGATATTTTGTGTATTAAAGTCTTGTTTTAAGTATGATGTACTAGTTAACCGATGTTGCAGGATGTGATGAAGCAAATGTTCTTCACTATAGGCTTAGACTGTTGTTTCCAGATAGTGGGTAAACAGGTTAGGTACCATTGCTAAAGAGTAACGTTACGCTTTTAATCATGGGGTAAACCCTGATGAACCTGTATTGAATGAGACAATTTTAAATGTTTTTATATGCAAATCAACTTATATGCTTCAATGTGTGTGATTCATTTCTATAACACCATATATTTTGTGAGTATGTGTGTAATATTTAGTCAAAGGGTGGATTGATAGAATAATTATTAATGACTAATTATTACACCCTGAAACTGTGTGAAATGTGTTAGAATGTGTGAGTGTAGGACCAGTAAAGAATATGACATTGAGCTACTATTTAGCAATGTGAGTAAGAGTTAGACCAGACAACAAAGGACAAGGAGAACTGTCTACAGGCAACTGAGAAACCAAGATAACTGAGGAATTTAGGGAGGAGAAAAACTGTTAGGCTTGGAAGAGTGCATGTGTGTGTGTGTGTGTGTGTGTGTGTACTGATGGTCAGGAGAGCAGTTTTAAAGTGGAAAACTACAGCCCGCCTAGAGAGAGGAGGGATTTTTGTATGACGTTTGAGTATAAAAGATGGACTCTGAAATTGTGATGGCAGAATTCTCAATGAATAAATCTCTGACTATGCAGACCGGGACTCTGTCCGTTTCTTAAATCCAAAAGACTTACAACCTTTTGGGAGACGCACAGAGACACTGAAATAGTTTGTTAAATAATTCACATAACAATCCAATACCTGCCTCTGTCATTCCAGGTAACTCTGAAAACCGTCGACGGGCGAATGATACATTCGTAAATAGAAAGTCCTGCCCTTTGACATTAAGGGTTAAGACAGGCCAGAGGACACCTGATTAATGACAGAGATGGTGACGGAATCCAAACCTACATTGAATCTCGGCTGCAAGGATAAGGTCAGTAGTCTTTATTCATTAACTGGGGCAGTCTGGGATTGCTCAGGCTGGGTCCGTAACGATTCACGGTAATAGGCCATTACCAAAAGAAACTACCCTGCATTCAGAGAACCTGTAGTAGATTATAGAAACTGTTAGGCTTGGAAGAGTGCATGTGTGTGTGTGTGTGTGTACTCATGGTCAGGAGAGCACTTTTAACGTGGAAAACTACAGCCCGCCTATAGAGAGGAGGGATTTTTGTATGACGTGTGAGTATACATTTTTATTTTTATTTTTTGGTCATTTAGCAGACGCTCTTATCCAGAACGATTTACATGAGCAATTAGGGTTAAGTGCCTTGCTCAAGGGCACATCGACAGATTTTTCACCTAGTCGGCTCGGGGATTAGAACCAGCGACCTTTCGGTTACTGGCACAACGCTCTTAACCACTAAGCTACCTGCCGCCCTATAAAAGATGGACTCTGAAATTGTGATGGCCGAATTCTCAATGAATAAATCTCTGACTATGCAGACCGGGACTCTGTCCGTTTCTTAAATCCAAAAGACTTACAACCTTTTGGGAGACTCACAGAGACACTGAAATAGTTTGTTAAATAATTCACATAACAATGATGGATAAAGGATGGAAACAGAGAGAGAGAATAGAACACATTTACATCACAGAGAATTCATCAGATGACAACCACAAAGAGTAGGAGGAGGGGGGTACAAGGGGCCCGAGGGGGAGCGAGGTGAGGGGGGGGAGAGAGGTGAGGGGGGGGAGAGGGGGCAATATGTTGGGAGTTACAGGAATGGGAGTAGCTAAGGCTTTGTCAGCAATTATATATATATTTCTTTTTTTTACGCAGATTCCTTAAAGATTGACTTCCTTTAAGACACCTTTTTGAAAGTTAAAGACGTGGTACCTGATCTCTTCATTGATAGAACAGACATCCGTTAAAATAGGGACTGCTCTCAAGTAGCCAGACGTCTAAATCTCTGCGTTCGCTCTGCGGCCTGAGCTTTGTAATGAAAAGGCCGGAAAATAGGGACAAGTAGTTTGAGAGTTGGTGGCCGCAGAAACTACAGACTTAGAGAAACAAAGCTAAAGGCCCGTTTTTACACCTGTTTTTGGAAACTAGTTGTTCTTGCCAAAACCAGCACCTGGATCTTGACACACTGCTGTGCAATAGGTTTTCTCTTGCTCTTTTACATAGAGAAACAAAGCCTTTCACTCCCCTTCTCTCACTGTAACCTGCTTCAGCACAGCAGAGAGGGGATCTCTAGCCAGCGACTGAGAAGCAAAGGAGAGGGAGAGATGGAGGGAGGGAGGGATGGAGAGATGGAGGGAGGGATGGAGAGATGGAGGGAGGGAGGGAGGGAGGGAGGGAGGTAGGGAGGGAGGGATGAGTCGCGGACGATGATCAAAGCGGCTCGGAGCTGGCAGACACTGAACATGAACTTGGAACTCTGGGATGGAGCGGCGAGAACAAACACACACATGGTCTCACACAGATACGCTCTCACACAGATACACTCTCACACAGATACGCTCTCACACAGATACACTCTCACACACACGCTCTCACACAGATACGCTCTCACACAGATACGCTCTCACACAGATACGCTCTCACACAGATACGCTCTCACACAGATACGCTCTCACACAGATACGCTCTCACACAGATACGCTCTCACACAGATATCCTCTCACACAGATACGCTCTCACACACGCTCTCACACAGATACGCTCTCACACAGATACGCTCTCACACACACGCTCTCACACAGATACGCTCTCACACACACGCTCTCACACAGATACGCTCTCACACACACGCTCTCACACAGATACGCTCTCACACAGATACGCTCTCACACAGATACGCTCTCACACAGATACGCTCTCACACACACGCTCTCACACAGATACGCTCTCACACACACACACGCTCTCAACAGATACGCTCTCACACAGATACGCTCTCACACACAGATACGCTCTCACACACAGATACGCTCTCACACAGACACGCTCTCACACACAGATACGCTCTCACACACAGATACGCTCTCACACACAGATACGCTCTCACACACAGATACGCTCTCACACACAGATACGCTCTCACACACAGATACGCTCTCACACACAGATACGCTCTCACACACAGATACGCTCTCACACAGATACGCTCTCACACACACACAAATCCACTACTCTCCACTCTTCACTTCCTCCATTTATAGTAATTAAAATCTCAGCTAGAAACATGGGAACCTCAGTTTTGACTTAAATCTCTGTCTCCCTCTCTCTCCACCGTCTCCATTGTCTCTCCCCTCTCTACCCTGACTTCTGTTCCACTTTCTCCTCTCCTCCATGATGCCTCGCTCACTTCTTATTTCCTTTCACTGACATCCCCCTCTCTCCCCTCTCTCTCCCCCGCCCCTCAGCTCTGATTGGTCCATGTTCAGTAAGTTGCCACTCACCGGCGAATCGGCTGTCGAGAACCTGCTCATTGTCCAGCCCCCCCAAACAGGTCGTGTCGCAGAGGGCGTGATTGTTATTGGCCAACTCTAGACACCTGCTCCACCCACCTGCAAGCGGGGGCAAAGATCAAACAACAGCAGCCAGGCACAGCGGGAGGGGGGAGGGGGGGTGTAGATGGGGCTCAGTAGCTTTTAGATGACTATGCTAGAGTGTGTGTGGGTGTGAGTGTGTGTGTGTGTGCACGCGTGAGTGAGTGCGTGCGTGCGTGTGTGTGTGTGTGTAAAAGAGGGCATGGGTGAGATCATGTGATGATGGTGATGATGAGTAGCATGTGGCTCAGCAGGCTCAGAGGATGCACACGGAATCTGGCACACGGAGAAGCAGGGACAGACGCACACGCGTGCAAACATACATCACATGCACATTAACATCTAGAGAAATTGGATTCCTTTGGTTTCCTTATTGACTAATTTATTCATTGTTTGTTTATTCTTTATTTAATACCCAGAGCCAATAACACCATTCCATACTAGTACACACACACACAGATCCACTACGACTGGACTGGAGATATAAATATAAAGAAGTTGTATACTAGTCAGAACATGCATGGTGATTAAGATAATGTCACAAACACACACAATCACGCAGACATACAAGCATTTACACACACATTCATAAATAACACACACACACACATTGACACACACTCAAACTCTGGACAAACACACACACATTCACACACACTCAAACTCTGGGGACACTGAGAGGCAGGGTTAGAGATTTAAGCCCAATTTATCTGACTTTGGAGAGGAGGAATAAAGGAGGAGGGAAAGCAGAGGAGAAGGAGGATAGGAGTAGAAGGAGGAGAGGAGGAGAAGGAGGAGAGGAGGATGAGGAGGAGCGGAGGATGTGGAGGAGGAGAAGTAGAAGGAGGATGAGGAGGAGGAGAGGAGGGGGAGGAGGAGGAGAGGAGGAGGAGTAGAAGGAGGATGAGGAGGAGGAGAGGAGGAGGAGAGGAAGAGAGGAGGAGAAGGAATATGACTCCAAACATATACGCACAAAGAGAGAGAGAGGGAGAGACACACATACACAGATATACTGTACACACAACTGCATATCAGGGTGTGGAATCTAAGCAGTGCATGCAGAGCACAGCAGGCAAACACATACACAAGCGTGGGAAAACCAACGACATACACACACACACACACACAGACAGACACACACAGAGCAAACTGAGCCAAATGCACATGTGCAAACGGATGATTAGTGATGGTTTCACCGATGGTCAGTGTTGTAACACTTTTTTTTGATAGTCCATCTGTAGATGCTCTACAGACTATCAGTAACATTTCGACTAACTATCTACTAACCCTACAGTGCCTTGCAAAAGTATTCATCCCCCTTGGCGTTTTTCCTATTTTGTTGCATTACAACCTGTAATTTAAATGGGTTTTTATTTCGATTTCATTGAATGGACATACACAAAATAGTCCAAATTGGTGAAGTGGAATGAAAAAAAAAGTGGTACGTGCATATGTATTCATCCCCTTTGCTATGAAGCCCCTAAATAAGATCTGGTGCAACCAATTACCTTCAGAAGTCACATAATTAGTTAAATAAAGTCCACCTGTGTGCAATCTAAGTGTCACATGATCTGTCACATGATTTCAGTATATATACACCTGTTCTGAAAGGCCCCAGAGTCTGCAACACCACTAAGCAAGGGGCACCACCCAGCAAGCGGCACCATGAAGACCAAGGAGCTCTCCAAACAGGTCAGTGACAAAGTTGTGGAGAAGTACAGATCAGAGTTGGGTTATAAAAAAATATCAGAAACTTTGAACATCCCACGGAGCACCATTAAATCCATTATTAAAAAATGGAAAGAATATGGCACCACAACAAAACTGCCAAGAAAGGGCCGCAGACCAAAACTCACAGACCAGGCAAGGAGGGCATTAATCAGAGAGGCGACAAAATGACCAAAGACAACCCTGAAGGAGCTGTAAAGCTCCACAGCGGAGATTGGAGTATCTGTCCATAGGACCACTTTAAGCCATAAACTCCACAGAGCTGAGCTTTACGGAAGAGTGGCTAGAAAAAAGCCATTGCTTAAAGAAAGAAATAAGCAAACACGTTTGGTGTTTGCCAAAAGGCATGTGGGAGACTCCCCAAGCATATGGAAGAAGGTACTCTGGTCAGATTAGACTAAAATTGAGCTTTTTGGCCATAGAGGAAAACGTTATGTCTGGCGCAAACCCAACACCTCTCATCACCCCGAGAACACCATCCCCACAGTGAAGCATGGTGGTGGCAGCATCATGCTGTGGGGATGTTTTTCATCGGCAGGGACTGGGAAACTGGTCAGAATTGAAGGAATGATGGATGGCACTAAATACAGGGAAATTCTTGAGGGAAACCTGTTTCAGTCTTCCACAGATTTGAGACTGGGACGGAGGTTCACCTTCCAGCAGGGCAATGACCCTAAGCATACTGCTAAAGCAACACTCAAGTGATTTAAGGGGAAACATTTAAATGTCTTGGAATGGCCTAGTCAAAGCCCAGATCTCAATCCAATTGTGAATCTGTGGTATGACTTAAAGATTTCTGGACACCAGCGGAACCCATCCAACTTGAAGGAGATGGAGCAGTTTTGCCTTGAAGAATAGGGAAAAATCCTAGTGGCTAGATGTGCCAAGATGCCAAAAATATTTTGCATCTTCAAAGTGGTAGGCATGTTGTGTAAATCAAATGATACAAACCCCCAGAAAATCCATTTTAATTCCAGGTTGTAAGGCAACAAAATAGGAAAAATGCCAAGGGGGGTGAATACTTTCGCAAGCCACTGTAGTTAACCAAACAGCTACCCAGACTATCCGCACTGACCCTTTGTGCACTACATATTCTGACTCATCACATACGCTGCTGCTACTGTTTATTATCTGGCACTTTATTCCTAGTTGTATGTACATATCTACCTCAATTACCTCGTACTCCAGCACATCGACTCGGTACTGGTACCTGGTGTATGTAGCCAAGTTATCGTTACTCATTGTGGATTTATTATTACGTGTTTTACTTTTCTATTCCTTTTTACTTTTCTTTATCTCTGCAGTGTTGGGAAGTGCCCGTAAGTACGCATTTCACTGTTAGTCTACACCTGTTGTTTACGAAGCATGACAAATATAATTTGATTTGATTACTCAAAACTTTTTAGGAAACCTGTTGCACCTAATATATCTGAATACATTTGCTTAAAGTGATTTTGTAGTCATTACTCAAACCCTGTAGGGGGCTCCAGATTTGAGTTGTATCAGCTTGACATCTTTGAGTAATGCCCCCACTAAGCCACGCCTCCAATATAATTTCCCATTGTGCCTTGCCTTTTCTAGTGAATTGTGGAGTTTTTGTTAGTGACAGAGACATGGTTGTTGAATTCGTTCATTATCAGTCCTGTGGCCTTCACCAAGTGAGTTCCTAGGTGAATATTATAATTATACTCTTTATGACAATACATTACATATCTCATAAGGCCTTATTTTGAGTCCTAGCTTTACCTTAATACAGTGGCCTGAAACTCATGGTTTACAGGCCACATCAGTAAAAAAAAAAAAAAAAAAGATAATTGTGTAGCATAAGATTAATCAATCACTAAATGTACATGCAAAAACACAGATATTTAAAAAAAAAATCAAAAAAATCAACCTGCAGTAGAGCATGCTGGTAAAAAGTTAATGTATCATCATAACTTAAACTTCTTTAGTTGATGTGAGTTCTCATTTAGTTTTGAGTCAGTACCACAAGTAATAATTACTTTTCATTGACTTTGAGTTCAATTTACTAGAAGTATTTAAGTTAAAAATGCCTTGGGGTTTACACGCTCATCAATTCGTACAATATTTCCGCTTTTGATCTTTCTAACATGGCTTTTAGTGACTGACTACCCTGTTACAGTACCTTATACTGTAAACTACCATAGAAAGCTTATTATTAGTGAGATGGCAGGGTGTTTTAAGGGGTGCCATGCTACATTCTCGCTACTGTAAATTATAATATGTGCTAAAATACTGGTCACACTTAATTTGGATAGTCCAGACTTTCCATCTGTAGATGCTCAAACAATGGTCATACTATCATCAAATTATCTGTTGATACGCAACTGCTTGCTAAGGCTACGGTTAGGGTTAGAATAAGGGTTAAGGTTAGGGTTAGGGCTAGGGTAAGGGTAAAGTTTAGGGTTAGGATAAGGGTTAGAGCTAGGGTTACAGTGGCTTGTGAAAGTATTCACCCCCCTTGGCATTTTTCCTATTTTGTTGCCTTACAACCTGGAATTAAAATATATTTTTGGGGGGGTTTACACAACATGCCTACCACTTTGAAGATGCAAAATATATTTTATTGTGAAACAAACAAGAAATAAGAAAAAAAAACTGAACCCCCCCCCCCCCCCCCCCCCCCCCAAAGTCAACACTTTGTAGAGCAACCTTTTGCAGCAATTACAGCTGCAAGTCTCTTGGGGTATGTCTCTATAAGCTTGGCACATCTAGCCACTGGGATTTTTGCCCATTCTTCAAGGCAAAACTGCTCCATCTCCTTCAAGTTGGATGGGTTCCGCTGGTGTCCAACAAATCTTTTCAGATTCTCAATTGGATTGAGGTCTGGGCTTTGACTAGGCCATTCCAAGACATTTAAATGTTTTACCTTAAACCACTCGAGTGTTGCTTTAGCAGTATGCTTAGGGTCATTGTCCTGCTGGAAGGTGAACCTCCGTCCCAGTCTCAAATCTGTGGAAGACTGAAACAGGTTTCCCTCAAGAATTTCCCTGTATTTAGTGCCACCCATCCTTCCTTAAATTCTGACCAGTTTCCCAGTCCCTGTCGATAAAAAACATCCTCACAGCATGATGCTGCCACCACCATGCTTCACTGTGGGGATGGTGTTCTCGGGGTGATGAGAGGTGTTGGGTTTGCGCCAGACATAACGTTTTCCTCTATGGCCAAAAAGCTCAATTTTAGTCTAATCTGACCAGAGTACCTTCTTCCATATGTTTGGGGAGTCTCCCACATGCCTTTTGGCAAACACCAAACGTGTTTGCTTATTTTTTTCTTTAAGCAATGGCTTTTTTCTGGCCACTCTTCCGTAAAGCCCAGCTCTGTGGAGTGTACGGCTTAAAGTGGTCCTATGGACAGATACTCCAATCTCCGCTGTGGAGCTTTGCAGCTCCTTCAGGGTTATCTTTGGTCTCTTTGTTGCCTCTCTGATTAATGCCCTCCTTGCCTGGTCTGTGAGTTTTGGTGGGCGGCCCTCTCTTGGCAGGTTTGTTGTGGTGCCATATTCTTTACATTTTTTAATAATGGATTTAATGGTTCTCCGTGGGATGTTCAAAGTTTCTGATATTTATTTATAACCCAACCCTGATCTGTACTTCTCTACAACTTTGTCCCTGACCTGTTTGGAGAGCTCTTTGGTCTTCATGGTGCCGCTTGTTTGGTGGTGCCCCTTGCTTAGTGGTGTTGCAGACTCTGGGTGTCAAGGCGTCAGTGTAATGCGGTAGGACGAAGTCAGGCACAGGAGCTGATCGAAAAACGTACTTTACTCGTAGGTATCTCAATGAACATACCTCCACGCAGGGAGGAACAAACCCGCTCACATACGACAACCAAAACATGGACAAACACGCACAACACACAGTGTGAGCCAGAGGGTTAAATAGGGAAGACATAATAACATGATGGGAAACAGGTGAGACCAATACAGACAAAACAAGTCGAACATATTTACATTACATTTTTGTCATTTAGCAGACGCTCTTATCCAGAGCGACTTACAGGAGCAATTAGGGTTAAGTGCCTTGCTCAAGGGCACATCGACAGATTTTTCACCTAGTCGGCTTGGGGATTAGAACCAGCGACCTTTCGGTTACTGGCACAACGCTCTTACCCACTAAGCCACATAGAAACATGGATCGGTAGCAGCTAGTACTCCGGTGACGACGAACGCCAAAGCCTGCCCGAGCAAGGAGGGGGGGCAGCCTCGTCTGAATTCGTGACACTGGGGCCTTTCAGAATAGGTGTATATATACTGAAATCATGTGACAGATCATGTGACACTTAGATTGCACACAGGTGGACTTTATTTAACTAATTATGTGACTTCTGAAGGTAATTGGTTGCACCAGATCTTATTTAGGGGCTTCATAGCAAAGGGGGTGAATACATATGCACGCACCACTTTTCCGTTATTGATTTTTTAGATTTTTTTTTAAACAAGTTATTTTTTTCATTCCACTTCACCAACTTATACTATTTTGTGTATGTCCATTACATGAAATCCAAATAAAAATCAATTTAAATTACAGGTTGTAATGCAATAAAATAGGAAAAACGCCAAGGGGAATAAATACTTTTGCAAGGCACTGTATTTAACTAACTATTTAGCAGTCTTATGGCTTGGGCTTGATGATAGCACATTGGGCTTTACAGTGCAGTGTACAGGTGATATTTGTTCCCCGATGTAGGGCTAAGGTAAGGAGTTAGTTAGGGTGAGGCTTTAAATTAGGATTAGTGGGTAACATTGTATTAGTGCTTAGACTGCCCCGTACGTCTGTCCTTTCCAGCATGGCCAGATAGTGAGGGTGGTAAAGCAGAGAGGGGTCAGAGGTGAGAGGTCAATGAGAGGTCACATTTACCCTGCTTGTGGGAAGGGGAGGGGCAGTGTTCCTCTGTGACATCATTTCCCTGTGAGAAGGAGAGAGACAGATTCATATTTTATTGTATATTTTAAACTTTTTTTTAATCTATAGCCATTCCTATAGTTTAGGTACTATACAGTATATTTACCTCTGAATCTTGCTCTTCTGACACAGCGACTGAGAAGTTATGTTCTTTTGGCTCCATGGGTAGTTCCTTCACTATGAGGAAACACTAAAACAGTACAGAAATACACTAAGAAAAAAGAAGGAACAGCATGTCAGAAAACAGCTCAATGTGAATGAAGAACCCATAGAATCAAATCATTTCTGGGAAAATTGGAACACAAACAACAACACGAACAGCTACATATCCAAAATGGAGATGTATGGATAAAACACTTCTCCAACCTTTTCGGCCATATAACAAAGAACCAAGAACAGAAATGTATACATGATCATTTACAAAACTTAGAATCAGTTATTAAAGACTACCAGAACCCATTGGATTCTCCAATTACAATGGATAAGCTACAGGACTAAATACAAACCCTCCAACCCAAAAAGGCCTGTGGTGTTGATGGTATACTGAATGAAATGATAAAATATACAGACCATAAATTCAAATAGGCTATTCTTAAACTCTTCAACATTATCCTCAGCTCTGGCATTTTCCCAATATTTGGAACCAAGGTCTGGTCATCCCAATCCACAAAAGTGGAGACATATTTGACCCCAATAATTACAGTGGAATCTGCGTCAACAGTAATCTCTGAAAAATCTTCTGCAGTATCATCAATAGCAGTGCAAACAATGTCCCGAGACAATGTCAAATTGGCTTCTTACCAAGATACCGTACAACAGACCACGTATACAACCTAAACACTCTTATTGACAAACAAACAAAACAAAAGCAAAGTATTCTCATTTTGTTTATTTAAAAAAGGTTTTGACTCAATTTGGCATGAGAGTCTGCTGTACAAATTGATGGAAAGCGGTGTTTGGAGGAAAAACATATGACATTATAAAATCAATGTAAACAAACAACAAGTGTGCAGTTAAAATTGACAATAAACACACAGATTTCTTTCCTCAGGGCCGTGAGGTGAGACCGGGATGCAGCTTGAGCCCCAACCTCTTCAACATTTATATCAATGAATTGGCGAGGGCACTAGAACAGTCTGCAGCACCCGGCCTCACCCTACTCGATTCGGAAATCAAATGTCTAATGTTTGCTGATGATCTGGTGCTTCTGTCCCCAACCAAGGATGGCCTATAGCAGCACCTACAGTGCTGTGAAAAAGTATTTGCCCCCTTTCTGATTTTCACTATTTTTGCATATTTTGTATACTGAATGTTCAACCAAAACCTAATATTAGATAAAAGGAACCTGAGTTTACAAATAACAAAAAAATACATATGCTTATTTGGATGAGATGGGTCCCATTATGTCTGGTGAAAACCAAACACTGCACTCCACAGTAAGAACCTCATCCCAACGGTCAAGCATGGTGGTGGTAGTGTGATGGTTTGGGGATGCTTTGCTGCCTCAGGATCTGGACGACTTGCCTTAATAAAAGGAACCATGAATTCTGCTCTGTATCAGAGAATTCTACAGGAGAATGTCAGGCCATCCGTCTGTGAGCTGATGCTGAAGCACAGCTGGGTCATGCAGCAAGACAATGATCCAAAACACACAATTAATTCTACATGAAAATGGTTAAAAAGCAACACATTTAAAGTTTTGGAATGGCCTAGTCAAAGTCCAGACATAATCCCAATTGAGATGTTGTGGCAGGACTTGAAACGAGCAGTTCATGCTTGAAAACCCACAAATGTCGCTGAGTTAAAGCAGTTCTGCATGCCAGAGTGGGCCAAAATTCCTCCACAGCGATGTGAGAGACTGATCAACAACTACAGGAAGTATTTGGTTGCAGTCATTGCAGCTAAAGATGGCACTACCAGTTATTGAGTGTAAGGGGGCAATTACTTTTTCACACGGGGGAATTGGGTGTTGCATAACTTTGTTAATTAAATAAATAAAATAAGTATCCTTTTTTTGTTGTTTTTTGTAAACTCAGGTTCACTTTATCTAATATTGGGTTTTGGTTGAAGATCTGATAACATTCAGAATCAAAAATATGCAAATATAGATAAAATCAGAAAGGAGGCGAGCCAAATACTTTTTCACGTCACTGTAGATCTTCTGCACAGATTCTGTCAGACCTGGGCCCTGACCGTGAATCTCAGTAAGACAAAAATAATTGTGCTCCAAAAAAGGTCCAGTTTCCAGCACAACAAATACAAATTCTATCTAGACACTGTTGCCCTAGTGCACACAAAGAATTATACCTACCTCGGCCTAAACATCAATAACACAGGTAACTTCCACAAGGTTGTGAATGATCTAAGAGTCAAGGCAAGAAGGGCCTTCTATGACATCAAAATGAACATAAAACTCGACATCCCAATTAGGCTCGGGCAAAAAATACTTAAATCAGTTATAGAATCCATTGCCCTTTATGGTTGTGAGGTCTTGGGTCCACTCGCCAACCAATAATTCACAAAATGGGACAAACACCCAAATGAGACTCTGCATGCAGAATTCTGCAAAAATATACTTTGTGTACAACGCAAAACCCAAAACAATGCATGCAGAGCAGAATTAGGACTATACCCGCTAGTTATCAAAATCCAGAAAAGAGCTGTTAAATTCTACAGCCACCTAAAAGGAAGCGATGCCCACACATTCCACCGCAAAGTCCTCATCTACAGAGACATGAACCTAGACAAGTCCCCTCAGCCAGCTGGTTCTGGGGCTCTATTCACAAACACAAACAGAACCCACACAGCCCCAGGCCAGCAACACAATTAGACCAAACCAAATTATGAGAAAGCAAAAAGATAACTATTTGACACACTGGAAAGAATCAACCAAAAAACAGAGCAAATTAGAATGCTATCTGGCCCTAAATAGAGAGTACACACCGTGACTGACCCAAATGTAAGAAAATCCTTGACTATGTACAGACTCAGTGAGCAGAGCCTTGCTATTGAGAGAGGTCGCCATAGTAAGACCTGGCTCTGAAGAGAAGACAGGATATGTGCCCACTGTCCACAAAATGAGGTGAAAACTGAGCTGCACTTCCTAACCTCCTGCCAAATGTATAACCACATTAGAGAAACATATTTCCCACAGATCACACAGACCCACAAAGAATTTGAAAACAAATCCAACATTGATAAACTCCCACATCTGTTAGGCGAAATACCACAATGTGCCATCACAGCAGTAAGATTTGTGGCCTGTTGCCATGAGAGAAGGGCAACCACCAATATTTATCTGTTTATTTATCTTCCCCCACTATTCGTACTACAACTATTTGAACATTGCTAAAACACTGTACATGGCTGATAATATAACACTTGAAATGTCTTTATCTTTTTGAAACCTTTTTGGGTGCAATGTTTACTGGTAATTTCTAATAGTTTTTTGTTTATGTTTAAATGTGTTTCTTCTCACTTGTGTTTGTTTATTTCACTTGCTTTGGCAATGTAAACATACAGTGCATTTGGAAAGTATTCAGACCCCTTGACTTTTTCCACATTTTGTTATGTTACAGCCTTATTCTAAAATTGATTAAATTGTTTCCCCCCTAATCAATCTACACACAATACCCCATAATGACAAAGCAAAAACATGTTTGTAGATTTTTTTGCATAAAAATAAAAAAAATGGAATAGCACATTTACGTAAATATTCAGACCGTTTACTCAGTACTTTGTTGAAGCACCTTTGGCAGCGATTACAGCCTTGAGTCTTCTTGGGTATGACGCTACAACCTTGGGGAGTTTCTCCCATTCTTCTCTGCAGATCCTCTCAAGCTCTGTCAGGTTGGATGGGGAGCATTGCTGCACAGCTATTTTCAGATCTCTCCAGAGATGTTCGATCAGGTTCAAGTCCGGGCTCTGGCTGGGAAACTCAAGGACATTCAGAGACCCGAAGCCACTCCTGTGTTGTATTGTCTGTGTGCTTTTTTTTTTTTTTTTTTTTTTTAGGGTCGATGTACTGATGGAAGGTGAACCTTCGCCCCAGTCTGAGGTCCTGAGCGCTCTGGAGCAGGTTTTCATCAAGGATCTCTCTGTACTTTGCACCGTTCATCTTTGCCTCGATCCTGACTAGTCTCCCAGTCCCTGCCGCTGAAAAACATCCCCAGAGCATTATGCTGCCACCACCATGCTTTACCATAGGGATGGTGCCAGGTTTCCTCCAGACGTGACGCTTGGCATTCAGGCCAAAGAGTTCAATCTTGGTTTCATCAGACCAGAGAATCTTGTTTCTCATGGTCTGAGAGTCTTTAGGTGCCTTTTGGCAAACTCCAAGTGGGCTGTTATGTGCCTTTTACTGAGGAGTGGCTTCCGTCTGGCCACTCTACCATAAAGGCCTGATTGGTGAAGTGCTGCAGAGATTGTTGTCCTTCTGGAAGGTTCTCCCATCTCCACAGAGGAAATCTAGAGCTCTGTCAGAGTGACCATCGGGTTTTTGGTCACCTCCCTGACCAAGGTCCTTCTCCTCCGATTGCTCAGTTTGGCCGGGCGGCCAGCTCTCGAAAGAGTTTTGGTGGTTCCAAACTTCTTCCATTTAAGAATGATGGAGGCCACTGTGTTCTTGGGGACCTTCAATGCTGCAGAAATGTTTTGGTACCCTTCCCCAGATCTGTGCCTCGACACAATTCTGTCTTGGAGCTCTTCGGACAAGTCCTTTTGCTCTGACATGCACTTTCAACTGTGGGACCTTATATAGACAGGTGTGCCTTTCCAAATCATGTCCAATAAATTTAATTTACCACAGGTGGACTCCAATCAAGTTGTAGAAACATCTCAACACTGATCAATGGAAACAGGAAGCACCTGAGCTCAATTTCGAGTCTCATAGCAAAGGGTCTGAATACTTATGTAAATAAGGTATTTCTGTTTTTATTTTTAATAGATTTGCAAAAATATCTAAAAACCTGTTTTCACTTTGTCATTATGGGGTATTGTGTGTAGATTGCTGATGATTTTTATTTATTTAATCAATTTTAGAATAAGGCTGTAATGTAACAAAATGTGGAAAAAGTCAAGGGGTCTGAATACTTTCCGAAGGCACTGTATGTTTCCAATGCCAATACAGCCCCATTGAATTGAATTGAGAGAGCGAGAGACACAGAGAGAGAGACAGAGAGAGAGAGAGGAGGGGGGAGGGTATTCTCTATATCACAACAAGCCATTTTTCTAGGAGTACCCAACTCTCTCCTCTCTCATCCTCCTGTTCCCCCTCATGTTTCTCACCTCCCCATCCTGCTGTGAGGGTCCCCGGCTCTCCATGGGTGCGTCCTGGATCTTCTCCCCCTCTGCGTCTCCCCCCTCCACCTCTCCCTCCGGCCCGGCCAAGTAGGAACCGGACATGGAGGACAGGGTGTCAGTGCTGATCTGAGAGTGCTGGCTGTGGGACAAAGCCATGGACATGACTGACTGGGCCAGGCTACTGCTCACGGGGTCTGTGTGTGAGAGAGAGAGCGAGAGAGCGCGATAGAGAGAGAGAGCGCGAGAGAGAGAGAGATAGAGAGCGAGAGAGAGAGAGAGAGAGAGAGAGAGGAGAGAGAGGAGGAGACAATTAACTGTGTTTTATAATTTGACACATTGGACACATTTTCCATTGCTCACTGCCCACCCCCTGACAGCCCCAGCAGGACTACCTTCAGGGGAGGTGATGGTGGAGGAAAAAGGTGTCCCAGTACAGGAGGACTGGTCTATGGCTCCAGACGAGGATAGAGTCAGGTTCTCACTCTCTGGAGTTACACCACTCTGGAACAGAGAGCGTAAGGTCAAACACATACACCAGACACAGACAAACACGCGCGCGCACACACGCACACACAAACTGTGTCAGAATGTCAGTGTACCTCCGGTTGTTGTTTCCGGTGGCAGGCCTGAACCTCTGATTCACTGTGATCTGACTTCTGTCCCTGCTCCACTGGCAGCACCGAATAATTCTGGGAGAGAGACCTGACACATCCCACAATGCAAAAGTCAGAATCATAAACACCACAACAAACACTCTCACAACACACTGTCCGGACGTAAATACACTACATTACCAAAAGTCTGTGGACACCTGCTCGTCGAACATCTCATTCCAAAATCATGGGCATTAATATGGAGTTGGTCCCCCCTTTGCTGCTATAACAGCCTCCACTCTTCTGGTAGGGCTTTCCACTAGATGTTGGAATATTGCTGCGGGGACTTGCTTCCATTCAGCCACAAGAGCATTAGTGATGTCGGGCACTGATGTTGGGCGATTAGGCCTGGCTCGCGGTCGGCGTTCCAATTCATCCCAAAGGTGTTCGATGGGGTTGAGATCAGGGCTCTGTGCAGGCCAGTCAAGTTCTTCCACAGATTAGTCCGTTGGACTGCCAGATGGTGAAGCGTGATTTATCACTCCAGAGAGCGCTTTTCCACTGCTCCATAGTCCAATGTCGGCGAGCTTTAAACCACTCCTGCCGACGCTTGTCATTGCGCCTGGTGATCTTAGGCTTGTGTGCGGCTGCTCAGCCTTGGAAACCCATTTCATGAAGCTCCCGACGAACAGTTATTGTGCTGACGTTGCTTCCACAGGCAGTTTGGAACTCGGTAGTGAGTGTTGCAACTGAGGACAGATGATTTTTACACGCTATGCGTTTCAGCACTTGGTGGTCCTGTTCGGTGAGCTTGTGTGGCCTACCACTTCGTGGCTGAGCCGTTGTTGCTCATAGACATTTCCCCTTCACAATAACAGCCCTTACAGTTGACCGGGGCAGCTCTAGCAGGGTAGAAATTTGACAAACTGACTTGTTAGAAAGGTGGCATCCTATGACGGTGCCACGTTGAAAGTCACTGAGCTCTTCAGTAAGGCCATTCTACTGCCAATGTTTGTCTATGGAGATTGCATGGCTGCGTGCTCGATTTTATACACCTGTCAGCAATGTGTGTGGCTAAAATAGCCGAATTCACAAATTTGAAGGGGTGTCCACATACTTTTGTATATATAGTGTATATTATATTAGCTAAACCTTTAAAAGTCCTAGGAAATTAATTCCTATTCAAATGTACAGTATGTTCGTATGTGTTTCTGCGTCCCAAATGGCACCCTATACCCCATGTAGTGCACACCTTTTGAACAGACCTCGGGTCAAAACTATTGCACTTCATAGGGAATATGGTGCCATTTGGGACACAGCCTGTGTCTCCAAGTGTTTGCGCCACTCACTTGGAGCCACTCTTCTTCAGTTTGAGTCCCTGGCTAGACTTGGAGTGGTCCAGGGGGGACATGGAGCGTGCCGGGGTTGGGTGGGTCTCACTGCTGTAGGGGGGCAGGGTGCCTGAGACGTGGCCCCCAGAGAGGTCCTGCAGAGGGGGGGCAGAGGGAGACACGCTCAGGGGCCCGTTCAGAGCCTCCAGAAGAGACACGACCTCAAAACCTGGGGGAATGTGATCCGACGCCTGGGGGAGGGAGGGGGAAGGAGAGAGAGGAAGATGGGACAGGGGTAGAGAGTACGAAAAAAAGAGATGAGATGCTATACGCTAGCGGTCACCAACCGGTCGATCACGACTGGTCGATCTTCAAGGAATTTCTTGTTGATCACAAAACATTTCAACGATAAAGGATTGTGCTCCGTTTTTGATTTTTTCATGTTGCTCTGTTGGCGGTAAGTGCACTTGATTCAGAAGCCCTGCGCACCGAGTAGGCAAAGTGTTTTGAACCATTTTATTTGCCTGAAAATACAAACTGTGCCTACCCGGTAGACCGGGAGATCTGTGGCTAAATCGAGTGCACCTACTGCGCTGGCCAATCGGATAGCTCAAATCACCATGCCTACAGCTTCCACGACCCCGGCCACAGCAAAGTTACTGTCCTACTGTTACTGTGATACTATCCTACGTAAGATTTCATAACTTTTAAAGCCTTGACCAGAGAGACTGTCAAAGAATACAGCAAAGAGCTGTTGTTTTTATGAGTGAGTTCATGAGTTCATACGTTTTTATTATTATTATTAGCAGCTCATCATGTCAATTTTATTATTGAGGAATATTTCACTTTCTCTGGTAATAGGAACAACATGAATTTGCGGTGCGACTCGAGTTTCACCATCAGGTGGAAGACTGTGTCCCCTCTCTCTGGTTCAGTCTCACCAGAGGAAAGAAAGGAGAGAGCAGGGACCGTGAGATGTGGACCCTCTGCTGCTCTCTCCCTCCCTCCGCTGAGACTAATGCTGTGTTCAAAACAACTGGGAACTCGGAAATCTCAGACTTCCAAATTCGGTGCGTTCAAGACAACTGGGACCTCGGGAAAAAATAAGATCCGACTGGGAAAAATCATTCTGAACGTCATCCAACTTGGATTTCCAAGGCGGAAAATCGGGCATCTTTCTAGAGCTCCGACTTTCCGACCTGAATATCACTGACGTCATGATTTGACCTCGTTTTTTTTCCAGAGTTCCCAGTTGTCGTGAAAGCACCATGACCATCAGATGCAGGTACCATCAGTCCAGTAAAATAAAAAAGCTAATTATTTGCAATTGTTTTCAATTTATGCTCAGCTGTGCCTCGCAAGTGCTACATTGTAGGCCAGGCATATAGCCAATATGCTGTGATAATGTATTAGGCTGATTACACAAACCTATTTTTTATTAGGTTAATGTTACATTTTTTAAGTCATGTTAAAAAATAAAAATCTGAGTGGTAGATCTCGGCTTGCTTTTGACTGCGAAAGTGATCTTGACTCAGAAAAGGTTGATGACCACTGCTATATGCTGTATATATACAGTACCAGTCAAAAGTTTGGACACCTACTCATTCCAGGGTTTTTCTTTATTTGTACTATTTTCTACATTGTAGAATAATAGTGAAGACATCAAAACTATGAAATAACACATATGGAATCATGTAGTAACCAAAAATATTATTCAAAGTTGTCACGATCGTCGTAGGAGTGAGTAGACCAAGGCGCAGCGTGTGAAACAAACATGACTTTATTTAATTAAAGTACTAACAAAACACGACTCGTGAAGTCCACGGTTAAACATACCGACACGGAACAAAAACCCACAACACCCAAGGGAAAACATACAGTTTAAATATGGCTCCCAATCAGAGACAACCCACAACAGCTGACACTCGTTGCCTCTGATTGGGAGCCACTCTGGCCAACATAGAATACACAACCTAGAACACCCAACATAGAAAATGAACACATAGAATGAACACACCCTGGCTCAACATATAGAGTCCCAGAGCCAGGGTGTGACAGTACCCCCCCCTAAAGGCGCGGACTGCGACTGCGCCTCAATAAGAGCTAAACAGGGGAGGGCTGGGTGGGCATACCTCCTCGGCGGCGGTTCTGGCTCCGGCCTTGCCCACCACCCTTCCATAATTCCCCCGTAGCGCCCCTGGTCCGGTCTGACCCCGCTGGCTGGATCTGGACTGGACATTGACGGAGCGGATTGCTTACGCTCCGTTGTGGAGCAGCTGACCGGTCTTACCAGGCTGACGACTCGCACCCCGGGCTTGGTGCGAGTAGCAGGAACGGGCTGAACCAGGCTGACGACTCGCACCCCTGGCTTGGTGCGAGTGGCAGGAACGGGCTGGACCAGGCTGACGACTCGCACCCCTGGCTTGGTGCGAGTGGCAGGAACGGGCTGGACCAGGCTGACGACGCACACCGTAGGCTTGGTGCGTGGAGCAGGGACAGGCCGGGCTGGGCTGACGACGCACACCGTAGGCTTGGTGCGTGGAGCAGGGACAGGCCGGACAGGGCTGGCGACGCACACCGTAGGCTTGGTGCGTGGAGCAGGGACAGGCCGGACAGGGCTGGCGACGCACACCGTAGGCTTGGTGCGTGGAGCAGGAACAGGCCGGGTCGGGCTGGCGACGCGCACCGTAGGTTTGGTGCGAGTGGCAGGAACAGGCCGGACCGGGCTGGCGACGCACACCGTAGACTTGGTGCGGGTAGCAGGAACAGGCCGGACCGGGCTGGCGACGCACACCGTAGACTTGGTGCGTGGAGCAGGGACAGGCCGGACAGGGCTGGCGACGCACACCGTAGGCTTGGTGCGTGGAGCAGGAACAGGCCGGGCTGGGCTGGCGACGCACACCGTAGGCTTGGTGCGTGGAGCAGGGACAGGCCGGACTGGGCTATGGAGACGGATAGGAGACCTGGAGTGAAGAGCTGCCACAACCCGTCCTGGCTGAATGCCTACCTTCACACACTCTGTGTGAGGCATCAGCACAGGACGTACAGGGCTGTGTACCCGTACTGGCATAACAGCACGTGACACTGGCGCAGGATATCCGGGACCGAGGAGAGGCACTGGAGGCCACGAGCGCTGAGCCGGCACACTCCGTCCTGGCTGCATGCCCACCTTCGCACAACACGTGCGGGGTGCTCGCACAGGACTTACCGGACTATGCCGGACCACTCGTGGCACAGTGCGCAGCTCCGCATACCGCGGAACCTGCCCAGTCTCATGCTGCCATGCCTGAGTACGGGGAGTTGGCTCTGCTCTCCATCCAGGCTCCGCCAACCTGCCTTCTGGCCCCCAAAACCCGGTGGCCTTCTCTCCTCGTCTCCCATTTCGCCCTGTGGCAGCCTCCTGCTGCCCAGTCGCCCATGCCGTGTGCCCCCCCCTAAAAAATTCTTGGGGGTGCCTCTCGTCCGTCCGACGATGGCACTGCTGACGCCGCTGCTCCTCTCTCGCCAGGGCCTTGATCCTACCCCAAGGTCCCTTGCCCCCGAGCATGTCCTCCCAGGACCACGATTTGCCCACCTGGGCCATCGCCAGCCTCTCCATCTCCTTTCCTGGCGCTTCCTCCCATGTCCAGTCTGCCTGCTCCTGGACACGCTGCTTGGTCCTTTTACGGTGGGTTTTTCTGTCACGATCGTCGTAGGAGTGAGTAGACCAAGGCGCAGCGTGTGAAACAAACATGACTTTATTTAATTAAAGTACTAACAAAACACGACTCGTGAAGTCCACGGTTAAACATACCGACACGGAACAAAAACCCACAACACCCAAGGGAAAACATACAGTTTAAATATGGCTCCCAATCAGAGACAACCCACAACAGCTGACACTCGTTGCCTCTGATTGGGAGCCACTCTGGCCAACATAGAATACACAACCTAGAACACCCAACATAGAAAATGAACACATAGAATGAACACACCCTGGCTCAACATATAGAGTCCCAGAGCCAGGGTGTGACAAAAGTAGCCACCCTTTGCCTTGATGACAGCTTTTCACACTCTTGGCATTCTCTCAACCAGCTTCATGAGGTAGTCACCTGGAATGCATTTCAATTAACAGGTGTGCCTTGTTAAAAGTTAATTTGTGGAATTTCTTTCCTTCTTAACGCATTTGAGCCAATCAGTTGTGTTGTGACAAGGTAGGGGTGGTATACAGAAGATGGCCCTATTTGGCAAAAGACCAAGTCCATATTATGGCAAGAACGGCTCAAATAAGCAAAGAGAAACGACAGTCCATCATTACTTTAAGACATGAAGTTCAGTCAATACGGAACATTTCAATAACTTTGAAAGGTTCTTCAAGTGCAGTCGCAAAAACCATCAAGCGCTATGATGAAACTGGGTCTCATGAGGACCGCCATAGGAAAGGAAGACCCAGAGTTACTTCTGCTGCAGAGGATAAGTTCATTAGAGTTAACTGCACCTCAGATTGCAGCCCAAATACATACTTCACAAAGTTCAAGTAACAGACATATCTCAACATCAACTGTTCAGAGGAGATTGCGTGAATCAGGCCTTCATGGTTGAATTGCTGCAAAGAAACCACTACTAAAGGACACCAATAAGAAGAAGAGACTTGCTTGGGCCAAGAAACACGAGCAATGGACATTAGACCGGTGGAAATCTGTCCTTTGGTCTGATGAGTCCAAATTAGAGATTTTTGGTTCCAACCGCCGTGTCTTTTTGAGACGCAGAGTAGCTGAACGGATGATCTCCGCATGTGTGGTTCCCACCGTGAAGCATGGAGGAGGAGGTGTGATGGTGTGGGGGTGCTTTGCTGGTGACACTGTCTGTGATTTATTTAGAATTCACACACTTAACCAGCATGGCTATCACAGCATTCTGCAGCAATACGCCATCCCATCTGGTTTGTGCTTAGTGGGACTATCCTTTGTTTTTCAACAGGACAATGACCCAAAACACACCTCCAGGCTGTGTAAGGGCTATTTGACCAAGAAGGAGAGAGATGGAGTGCTGCATCAGATGACCTGGCCTCCACAATCACCCGACCTCAACCCAATTGAGATGGTTTGGGATGAGTTGGACCGCAGAGTGAAGGAAAAGCAGCCAACAAGTGCTCAGCATATGTGGGAACTCCTTCAAGACCATTGGAAAAGCATTCCTCATGAAGCTGGTTGAGAGGATGCTAAGAGTGTGCAAAGCTGTCATCAAGGCAAATGGTGGCTACTTTGAAGAATCTAAAATCTAAAATATATTCTGATTTGTTTAACACTTTTTGGGTTCCTACATGATTCCATATGTGTTATTTCATCGTTTTGATGTCTTTACTATTATTCTACAATGTAGAAAATAGTAAAAATTAAGAAAAACCCTTGAATGAGTAAGTGTGTCCAACCTTTTGATATATTTTGTGTGTGTATGTGTATATCTTACCGAGTGTTCCTCTGAGTCAGAGGTCTGGGAGGTGATGACTGGGTTAAACCTGGCAGGAGAGAGATGACTCAGCTTCTTCCTCATGGCTCGGATCTGCAGCAGGGCCCGGAACGCTGAAGATGCATTATAACATGCTTAAGTATTGATGTGAAGGTCTTATGTAGCATTATAGACTCACACAGTCTGCAGATGGGAAAGCAGTTAGCCTGCTAACTGAGCATGTATTAGGTATTGCTATGAAGGTCCTGAGCATCTATTAAGTATTGCTATGAAGGTCTTACGAATGCCAATGTATGGCTTATAAAGGTCTTATATAGCATCATAGACATAGACTCACGCAGTCTGCAGATGGGGCAGCAGTTGGCCTGGTAGCGGAGTGTGTCGGCGCAGGCATTGCAGAGACACAGGTGTCTGCAGGGCAGGATGAGTGTGTCGCGGACATCCGACAGACACACCACACACTCCGCACTGTTATCACTGATCTCAGCATCCGCAACCTGGGGCCAACATAATCAATCAATTAATCAAAACATAAATCAATCAATACGTCACTACATCAAAACATAATTTACATTCACAGAGCAGTATGGTAGCTTGAGCAAACAATACTGTAAAAATGATTGCATGTCTTTGCATATTCATAGGTTGCACCTCCGTCACTCGGTCGAGTCATGCCATCGTTATGAACGTTCTCAAGCCACCCTCTACCGGCGGCTCCATAGTGGTGCCCTAAAGTGGTGATAAACCCAGTCATTCTGGAAGGAGGCTAACTATTGTTTTGTCTAAATTACACTATATTGCCTGGAAATAAGATGACATTGCTAAAGTAGTCAAATATTTAGTAGGAAACAACTTTGCCAGCATTATCATGTTGTCAAATAGACATGGAAATGTCATTAGCTAGCAAAGTTTGTCGAAAATAGCTAGCAATGCTAACGTTAGCTGGCTAAAATCCGATGGCCTCAGCTCAATCTTAGCTAGCTAGCTAACGTTATACTGCATCTAAAGTCAATCTGGCGACATCAAAATGATGACAAAAGGTTTTCCTACTAGTTATTTGCCTCCTTTTGAATGTCATTGTATTTCCAAGCCACTGTAATGCGCTTTTTATGAAACCTTCATCAGCGCTCATTGACGATGCATTGAGTAGAACGCTCAGTCGGGCATCAGTCCAAAATGAAGGTTCAAAACAATATTATGACAAAACATGCAATCATGAATACTCTAACCAGTTCTACAGAGAGTGATTTAGAAAGTTTTTTAACAAAAAGCGTTGTGGTCACTAAAAACGTTAAATTATACGGTAATTTTGGGTATAATCAACAGTAAAATACTAAAACTTTGTCACGCCCTGACTCAGGGGACTCTTATATGTTGAGTCAGGGTGTGAATATTCTATGTTGTGTATATCTATGTGTATGATCTAGTATGTGTAGATCTATGTTGGCCGGTGTGGTTGCCAATCAGAGGCAGCTGTCGCTCGTTGTCTCTGATTGGGGATCATACTTAGGCAGCCTATTGGCACTCGTTAGTTGTGGGATCTTGTTCCGTGTATAGGTTTGTTGTGTGTTCTACCTTAGGACTTCACGTTTTGTTTGTTTATTGTTTTGTCGTGTGTTTATTCAGTTTAATAAACATGTACACATTTCACGCTGCGCCTTGGTCTGACCCGTCCTTAAACGAACGTGACAAACTTTTACTGAAGCATACTGTAAATTAAGAGCTATATTTGTTGCACCCGTGAGTGAGGATACTGTACCAATTTAACTCCCATGTGATGTGGTTATAGTGCCCCATCTATTTGTATAGGGAGAAGAGTTACAGGGTGTGTTGAGTGGTGGTGTCCTGTCCTCCCAGGCTGTTGGTCTGGTGTAGGACCACATAGGGTTAATTTAGTGGAATAGGGTGGTGGGTTTTTAATGAGGGTAGTGTTAGATGGTAGGGTACGTTTTTTCCTTATTTTGTGTCACAAAGTATAATGGATTTATACACAAGTCAACCGCCATAGAAGAAGAACAATTTGTATAGGGCAGGGGTTCCCAAACTTTTTCACTCAGGCCCCCCTTCCAGCATTGGGGAACATCCCGTGCCCCCACGTGCGCGTGTGTGCCACGTCTATGGGCACAAGCACTGTTCATGACTCAAACTGTTCACACCCCTCTTGTTGACGGAGAGAAAGGTTTAAATCTTATTTGCAGGTTCAAAGCTTATTTCCTGCAATTCTACAAATTTTTCTCATGGGGTGCAGAATTTCTTTTGTAGTTTTAAAGCAAATTTTCTTGTAATTCTATACATTTTGCCATGTCTAATCATGTGATATTTGAGTGACAAGAACATTACTACAAAATCTATGGCCTACAAAAACTAGCTAAAAAACGTTAGCTGACATGGGCTAGTTGATCGGGACATTTCTGATGTGTTATAAATAGCTCTCTAAGGTATGCAATGACTGACATGACAAGAGGAAAACTGATGATGCACTACTCAAGAGTAAGAACTAACTGTAAGTCGCTCTGGATAAGAGCGTCTGCTAAATGACTAAAATGTAAATGTAAAATGTAAGAACAAAAACTATATTTTTGGGGGTGGAGGGGGACCTTTGCACACCCGCACCCCCCTGCCGACCCCTCCGCCCCCCAGGGGGCGCACCCCACAGTTTGGAAACCACTTGTATAGGGGACAGATTGGAATGGCAACAAGTCTTAAACCTTAAATGGTTGAGAATTTTGCCATGTCCTTTTGGTCTTTTTGCCCTGTAATCACAGCCAGTTTGGAAGCCTTTGTGAAGGCCTCTAGAAGTGCAAGTGATATAAACACCAAATATTCATTAATAAACCTACTGTAATGTGTAAACACTTTACCTAGCAGCCAACCTGCTTGCACCAATATCTTGTAACTACAGTAAAATACAGTGAAATACAAACCCCTCCCCTCAATAAATGTCATTAATTCATTCATTTATTCCGATTTACTTTTTAAGGTCATAACACAGTACTTGCTTTGATACTGTATTTATATTACAGTAGGTGTACTGTAATATGAAATACATCATTTTACTTGCCACTGAGCTGCCTGTAAGCTACTGTCAAATTCACAGTAACCCCTTTACAGTGTAGCCAAACAACCAAATGATCAGCTGTGTACCTTTGATTCTTGGCTGTTGTACTTGTTCTCAATGCCGTAGATCTCCTGAAGAAGGTAACTCACTCCATCTACCTGGAGAGGAGAGGAAACATGTTGGTGATGAGAGAGAAGGTTTCAGTATAAAACATACCAGGAAGGATAGTGAAAGGAGGAGCGAGAGACTGGAAGAGAGAGAGGGAAAAGAGAGGTAAGCAAGGCAGGAAAAGGGGAGGGTAAGGTACAGTTCAGAGTGAGATGAGAGCAGGAGGAGAGAGAGAGAAGAGGAGGACTTGGTGGAAACAAACTCACCACTTGCTTCTGCTTCAGAGGTTTGACACAGTAGCTTCCGTCCATGTGCTGTGGAACAAACAGTAGATACTTAGCCAATGCTAGTCCCACTGGACACAGACATCAGTTCAATATCTAGTTTTGATTTACAATTGATTGGGTTGTCAACTAAGGTGAAATCAACAAAACATTTAACCACGTCATTGGATTGTAAAAGTTGGATGAAAAAAAGACAAACATTCCCCAAATTCCTTTACGTTGATGACTCCAATCAGTTTTCCACCTTGATTCAACGTCATCATATTTTATTTTTGTGTTGAAATGGCATGGAAACAACGTTCATTCAACCAGTTTGTGCCCAGTGGGATACTTTTACATTTACATTTAAGTCATTTAGCAGACGCTCTTATCCAGAGCGACTTACAGTTAGTGAGCGCATACATTTATTTATTTATTTTTTTCATACTGGAATCGAACCCACAACCCTGGCGTTGCAAATGCCATGCTCTACCAACTGAGCTACATCCCTACCGGCCATTCCCTCCCCTACCCTGGACGACGCTGGGCCAATTGTGCGCCGCCCCATGGGTCTCCCTTTTAAATCCAGAGTCAACCACATCTCAAAACATGATAGACAAACTTTAAATAAATTGAACACTTGACTTACAATACTACAGCACATCAGACTACAAGCTCCTTACCCTTTCAAAGGTGGCCAGGAGGACATGGGAGTGACCCATGTGATCTTCCTCCTCGTCTACTATCGCATGAACGACCATGGGAAACACATCCTTATCCATGTCAAACAGCAACTAGAAAGAGGGAAAGAGAGAGAGAGAGAGATAAAAAGAGGTTATACACTACTGAAACACACACACTTCCTACTAATATGAATAAACACACACTCACACACACACACAGCCCATACCTCCTCGTCGGCCCACTCTGACAGGTTGACGGAGTGCGAGGGCAGACAGAACTGCTGACAGACTCCTCTCTTAAAGTGCACAATTTCTGACTGGAGAGAGCTGTCCTGGGGAAGGTAACTACAGGAGAGATACACACTCTTAGAAAAATAAGGTGATATCTAGAATCTTAAAGGGTTCTTCAGCTGTCCCTATTGAAGAACCCTTTGAAGAACCCTTTTTGGTTACAGGTAGAATCCTTTTGGTTCCAGGTAGCACACTTTTGGGTTCCATGTAGAACACTTTCTACAGAGGGTTCTATATGTTACCCAAAAGGGTTCTACCTGGAACCAAAAAGGGTTCTCCTATGGGGACAGAGGAAGAACCCTTTTGGAAGCATTTTTTCTAAGAGTGCAGAGAGATAAACACACAAGCACACACACACACAGACTTACATTGGCACTCCGTTGTGGAACTCCTCTATAGCTTGATAGTAGATGGTGATGGCCACCTGTGTGTCAGCGTCGAAGGTGAACTCTATGTTGTAACAGGCTTTGCTTTTCCCTGCCACGTCCTCCCCTGGCAGCTTCAGGTCCTCACTACACCTGCCATACCACACCGAAACACAGCTAGCATCATCTACACGTCTTTACAATTAACAATGTGAGAGTAAAGGGAGTAATCACGGGAACCCAGAACCAACGAGCAAAATCCTCCGGCCAGCTACTCGAATTTGGTTCTGGGGGGAGAAGTGGAGATGTTGGCTAATAATACACAGACTAAGTGAAATAATAATAAAAGGGATATAAACTATAAATAAATAAATGGTGTGTTGTGTGAGAGACACTCACCGTACGAGCCTCAGTGTATCCTTACGGATGTTTATAAGGCTTCGTAGAGTCTTCACTGGCTCCTGAGGAGGTGGGGCTGCATAGGGGAACTGTAAAGGAACCAATCACAAAAGGTCACATCAACAACAACAACAACAAAAGGGTCACATGATCTGATCAACTAATCACCAAGCCCTTGATCAGTTGAATCAGGTGTGTTAGTGCAGTTGAAGGTTTAACGTGTAGTGATCTTGATCTGTGGTTGTTATACTGTACCTATTTTAGATTAATGCACTTACTGTGAACTTAAGTCATTCTGGATAAGAGTCTGCTAAATGAATGAATGCACTGTAAAAATGTGTATAGAATAACCTTTGAAACCCTATGGAACATGCAGTCCAGTAGGAAGGGAGGATGTGGTTAGATACCTCTACACCCCTCTTCTGGGGCTAAGGGGAGGTGTGTGTGTGTGTGTGTTTGTGTGTGTGAGTGTTTGTTTGTGTTAATGCGTGTGTGCGGTTTACAGGAAAGGCTCCTGCTGGGCCCAGATGTGTTTTAATACTGAATAATGTGCCATTCATTAAAACACACACACACAGCATGAAACTTCTGCTATGGGATCTGTACAGTAGGAATGACAAGGCTGTTTTGCAGTACAGGGAAGACGCATGCATGCACGCACACACTTCCCTCTCTCTTTGCAGTCTGAATGTGACTTTATTACAGCAGTAAGCTGTTGTCTAAATCTCCAACATCACCGGCCTGTGTGCTTATAGAGAAAGCTGTCGAGGTCCAGCCATACACACGGACACACAATATAGGCTATACATATCCAGTGTAGGGGGACTAGACCTGTGCTGCAGATCACAGTTAACAACTCAGGGAGAGAGGAGAGATGGAGAGACATGTAGTGAGTGGGGTAGAGAGATGTGGTTCTGCATTGCCATCTGGTTCTGCATTGCCTTACATAACAGAATATATGAGAGAGAGAGAGAGAGAGAGAGAGAGAGAGAGAGAGAGAGAGAGAGAGAGAGAGAGAGAGAGAGAGAGAGAGAGAGAGAGAGAGAGAGAGAGAGAGAGAGAGAGAGAGAGAGAGAGAGAGAGGAGAGAGCGTTTGAACCGCTTTAAGCTGTTATGACCCCATTCCTGAAAGCTAAGACTCTCTGGAGCATGGATGTGCTTTCTGTTCCCCCCATAAGAATATAGTTGAATAGCTCTGTCATAGCCCTTCTAAGGATAGCCTTTCCACTCCCTATTTAATCTGGTTCGAAACAGGTTTCCTGCTTGTCACAAGACTGTGTTAGCCCACTGTGTTAGCCCATAGCGATTAGTTCAGGAAGCTAACACAAGTCTCCAGCAAGGTTAATCGAACCACCTCGGTTACATTTCACCTCCCTTTGACCTCATACTCAGAGATCACGGCACCAATATAAGGCACCAATATAACGGAACGGTTTCGATATCAGGTCTACTGCACAACAACACTTTCTGTGGCAAACAGAAGCAGACAGTTCTGTGTACCCCATTTAATGAGAGTGCAACAGAGGTGGTTTGATGATCCATTCATGTGATGAGTAGCCACGTAATTACCAGACTGATTACCGCGTGTAGCGAACCATTCATGTAAGCTCGCGGGATCAGGCCGCTCGCGAGTCTATGTGATGAACAACCTTGGCTGAGACATGAAGACGTGTTAGTTTGACTGATGGGGTTCTACCCCAGGTCTCCTGTGCACCAGACAAGGCAACTTTTCAGGTCTCAGACAAGTTTCTCAGGTAAGCAAGGCAGGAGAAGGTGTGGTCACCGAACCACCTGTGTTACACTTCACCACCCTTTAACCTCCTCCTTGAAGAGACCCAACCAAGTCACAGGGTTAGGGTTTTAGCTCAACAGGCTAACTCATTCTTAACCCAGTCAGTCACATGTTAACCTTATAATGACTACAATAAATCAGCCCTGGCATTTCTAACACACCGGCCCATTCTTTACCTTGAGGCCCCCACACCCAACCATTATTTTCCTCCAGGCCCCCACACCCAACCATTATTTTCCTCCAGGTCCCCACACCCAACCATTATTTTCCTCCAGGCCCCCACACCCAACCATTATTTTCCTCCAGGCCCCCATACCCAACCATTATTTTCCTCCAGGTCCCCACACCCAACCGTTATTTTCCTCCAGGCCCCCACACCTAACCATTATTTCCCTCCAGGCCCCCACACCCAACCATTATTTTCCTTCAGGCCCCCACACCCAACCATTATTTTCCTCCAGGCCCCCACACCCAACCATTATTTTCCTCCAGGCCCCCACACCCAACCATTATTTTCCTCCAGGTCCCCACACCCAACCGTTATTTTCCTTCAGGTCCCCACAAACAACCATTTATTATCCTCCAGGCCCCCACACCCAACCATTATTTTCCTTCAGGCCCACACACTGGCCCATTATTTTCCTTGAGGCCCCCACTATTAGCCAGATAATGATAATTTTGCACAAAAAACAAGTTAGACAGGCCCACTGGGCAAAAAATGGACCAGCCTATCTGGCATTTTTTTTGCATTTGCCCGAAATGCCAGATAGGCTGGTCCATTTTTAGCCCAGTGGGCCTGTCTAACTTGTTGTTTTTTGCACGAAATTATCATTATCTGGCTAATAGTGGGGGCCTCAAAACTAGACTGTGTAACACAAACGAACACGTTTTCAGGTCTCAGGCAAGGTTCTCATCACATAAGCATGGATCACCAAACCACGTGATTAACCTTGCAGGATCTTGAAGACTTGCATTATAGTAGCAGATGGGGATCCGTGAAACTCACTCCTCAGCCTGAAGTGTCGCCCCTTACGCAATTGAAAAATGTATTTTTTAATAGCAGGATAGGTTGGAATGCTTCAGGAGGGCGGTCAGTGTGTTTTTGAGGCAGAAGTCCTGAGTTCGAGTATGTGTTGAATAACGGGGAAGCGGTACTTGTTAAGCAAGCAGCATGTCGTCCTTTACATTAACTTCCTGAACTTATCCCTCCCTATAAGCTTTAGCTAAGTGGGCTAACACAGTCTTGTGACATGCAGTAGACCTGGTTCGAACCCAGTCAGTCACAAGAGCAAAATTAAATAGGGAGTGGAAAGGCTATCATTAGAACGGCTATGACAGGGCATTTCAACTATATATTTATGGGGTTCATATTTTGTTTTTTTGTGACACTCCCTTTTAATGCAGCCTGCAATCATCATAGAGGGAAACAGAAGGCACGTCCATGCTCCGGAGAGTCTTAGTTTTCAGGAATGGGGTCATAGTAGCTCATAGCCAAAACAGTTTAAATGCTAGAGCCAAATTCATTGGAAGAAAATAAATTAAACATGCCACATTGGCTTCAGAAACCGCCATAAGTTTCTGTTTACCAAAGGGAGCATTTGATTCTATCTGTTCTCCTCTACCTTGTCACGATCGCTTAAGGAGGAGGACCAATGCGCAGCGTTGAATGCGTACATATTATTTATTAAACAGATCACCCGATCAAAACAACGAACGAAACGTGAAGTCCTTCGATACACACAAACCAAAAGGAACAAGAAACCACAACACAAAGTGAAAAGACCGATAGTTAAATATGGCTCCCAATCAGAGACAACCAGCTGACACTCGTTGCCTCTGATTGGGAGTCACTCAGGCCCACATAGATATACAAACATAGACTACATACCCTGGCTCAACATAACATAGTCCCCAGAGCCAGGGCGTGACAGTACCCCCCCCCAAAGGCGCGGACTCCGACCGCGCCAAACAACCACAACAGGGGAGGGACCGGGTGGGAACTCCGCCTCGGCGGCGGATCCGGCTCCGGACATGACCCAGGCACGGGTTGTGCTGGACTGACGAAACGCACCACAGACTTGGTGCGGAGAGCAGGCACGGGCCGTGCCGGACTGACGACGCACACCACTGGCTTGGTGCGGGGAGCTTGGATGGGCCGGACTGGGCTGGCGACGCGCACCACAAACTTGGTGCGGAGAGCAGGAACGGACCGGGCTGGGCTGTCGACGCACACCGTAGGCTTGGTGCGTGGAGTAGGAACGGGCCGAACCGGGCTGACGACGCGCACCACAGACTTGGTGCGGAGAGCAGGAACGGGCCGGACAGGGCTGACGAAGCGCACCCCTGACTTGGTGCGGGGAGCAGGAACGAGCCGAGCCGGGCTGACGACGCACACCACTGGCTTGGAGTGGGGAGCAGGAGCGGGCCGAGCCGGGCTGTCGAAGCGCACCCCTGACTTGGTGCGGGGAGCAGGAACGAGCCGAGCCGGGCTGACGACGCACACCACTGGCTTGGTGTGGGGAGCAGGAGCGGGCCGAGCCGGGCTGTCGAAGCGCACCCCTGACTTGGTGCGGGGAGCAGGAACGGGCCGATCCGGGCTGACGAAACGCACCACAGACTTGGTGCGGGGAGCAGGAATGGGCCGGACCGGGCTGGCGACGCGCACCACCGACTTGGTACGGAGAGCAGGAACGGGCCGGACAGGGCTGACGACGCGCACCACAGGCTCGGTGCGAGAGGCAGGAACAGGCCGAACCGTACTGGGGACACACGCCACTGGCCCTATGCAGGGATCAGGAACGGGCCGGACCGGACTGGTAATACACCCCAGTACCTCTCGCCGTGCCTCCACACTTTCCCTCTCCTCTGTGACCAGTGGCCCCCTTAACCTGGCGGCCTCCTCTGCACACCCGCTGGACCGCTCCATCGCGGCCTCCGGCTGCCCCGTCGTCCACGTCGTGAGCCCCCCCCTAAAAATTTTCTGGGGTTCTCTCCTCCCCGTGGACCAGGCCTCCCTAGTTCTCGCCAGACTCTCACTCCACTGCTTCAAAGTCCAACCTTTCTGCTCTTCGCTTGGCTGGGCCCAGTTGAGACTCCTACTCCACTGATCCCAGGTCCATCCACTCTCCTCTTCACGCTGCTTGGTCCTGTCTTGGTGGTTTCTTCTGTCACGATCGCTTAAGGAGGAGGACCAATGCGCAGCGTTGAATGCGTACATATTATTTATTAAACAGATCACCCGATCAAAACAACGAACGAAACGTGAAGTCCTTCGATACACACAAACCAAAAGGAACAAGAAACCACAACACAAAGTGAAAAGACCGATAGTTAAATATGGCTCCCAATCAGAGACAACCAGCTGACACTCGTTGCCTCTGATTGGGAGTCACTCAGGCCCACATAGATATACAAACATAGACTACATACCCTGGCTCAACATAACATAGTCCCCAGAGCCAGGGCGTGACATACCTTTCCTGGCTGGCAAAGTACCAGGATGTTGTTTCTGGTTTTGAATCTGAATTTAGAGAACTGAATTTGAAAACTGAATCTGAATGCATCTGAGAAATTGAATATATGAAACTTTGATCAACTTGAAATTATAGTTTGTAAACTTGATACACAGACAATTAATGCAATATCTACCATTTTGAAACTGAACATGCCTATATAAATATTGAATTTGAATATTCAATTGAATTTAAATATAATTTTTAAATGAATGCAATATTCATTCAATTCCACTTCAATTCATGAAATACAGGTTCAATTTACGAATTCAATGATTCAATTTGGGCATTACAAATATCCTAATACAAATTCAAAATGATTAAATTCAAATACAATTTCTGTTGGCACTGAAATCGCTCCATACCACACCCTCAGTCACAGGATTCTATGGTATTCCCCTCGTCCATACAACAGAGATGATGAGAATTGGGATCGGAGGTATTTGGAACAAATCAAGCCTGCCGCCCAAATGGTACCCTATTCCCTATATTGTGCAATACTTTTAAACAGGGCCCATAGGGCTCTGGTCAAAAGTTGTGCACTATAGTGAACGAGGTGCCATTTGGGACCCATTTCAACTCTTCCCTTATGAGTGTTTGACACACAGTGGAGTGAGTTTATATAGCAAATGGATGTTTCCCCTCTAGTATGTGCTGTGCTCTCTAGACCTGGAACTCAGACTGTTCTGAGCGTCATAGCCAGGTCATAATGTAGACTCCCCCCTCTGGAGGACATAAAGCTGAGCTGCATTCATCATCATCATCATCATTATCATCGTCATCATCAACAAGCATGTCTTAAGAATTAGACAGACGATAATGTAGCTGGAGAGTTAGAAGGTAGTGTAGTGTAGTGTGGTGTGGTGTGGTGTAGTGTAATGTAGTGTAGTTTAGTGTAGTGTATGGTAATGTAATGTGTGGGGTAGTGTAGTGTAGTGTAGTATAGTATAGTATAGTATAGTTTAGTGTAGTGTATGGTAGTGTAGGGTAGTGTATGGTAGTATAGTGTAGTTTAGTGTAGTATATGGTAGTGCATGGTAGTGTAATGTAGGGTAGTGTAGTGTAGTATAGTGTAGTGTATGGTAGTGTAGTATAGTGTGGTTTAGTGTAGTGTATGGTAGTGTAATGTAGGGTAGTGTAGTATAGTGTAGTTTAGTGTAGTGTATGGTAGTGTAGTATAGTTTAGTTTAGTGTATGGTAGTGTAGTATAGGGAAGTGTAGTTTAGTGTATGGTAGTGTAGTGTATGGTGAGTGTATGGTAGTGTAGTTTAGTGTAGTGTATGGTATGGTAGTGTAGTGTAGTTTAGTGTAGTGTATGGTAGTGTAGTGTAGGGTTGTATAGGGTAGTATAGTGTAGTTTAGTGTAGTGTATGGTAGGGTAGGGTAGGGTAGTATAGTGTAGTTTAGTGTATGGTAGTGTAGTATAGTGTAGTATAGTGTAGTATAGTGTAGTGTAGTGTATGGTAGTGTAGGGTAGGGTAGTGTAGTGTAGTGTATGGTAGTATAGTGTAGTTTAGTGTAGTGTAGTGTATGGCAGTGTATTGTAGTGTAGTGTAGTTGTGTCTCGGTATAGTTTAGTGTAGTGTAGGTGAGTGTTTGGTAGTGTATGGGTGTATGGTAGTGTAGTGTAGTGTAGTGGTAGTGTATGGTAGTGTATGGTAGTGTAGTGTAGTGTATGGTAGTGTAGTGTAGTTGAGTGTAATGTATGGTAGTGTAGGGTAGTGTAGTGTAGTTTAGGTAGTGTATGGTAGTGTACTGCGGGTAGTATAGGGTAGTATAGTGTAGTGTAGTGTAGGTAGTGGGGTGTAGTGTGGGTAGTATAGTATAGTTAGGAGTGTAGGGTGTCGTGTAGTTTAGTGTAGTGTTTGGTAGTGTAGTGTAGGTATGGTAGTGTCGTGTATGGTAGTGTAGGGTGTGTAGTGGGCGTGAGGGGGTATGGGAGTGGTAGGGGTAGTGTAGGGGTGTGAGTGTAGTGGAGGTAGTGGAGGAGGGTAGGGTGTAGGGTAGTGTAGGGTAGTGATGGGGTTAGTGATAGTGTAGTGTAGTGTAGTGTATGGTAGTTGTAGTGTAGGTAGTAGTAGGATGAGTTTAGTGTAGGGTATGGTAGGTAGTATAGGTAGTGTAGTGTATGGTAGGTAGTGGTTAGGGTAGGATAGTGTAGTTAGGGTAGTGTGATGGGTAGTGTCAGTTAGTGTAGGGTAGGGTAGGGTATGGTAGTGTAGTGGTAGGTAGGGTGTGTAGTGGTAGTGTAGTGTATTGGTAGTATAGTGTAGGGTAGTAGTATGTGTAGTGTAGGGGTAGTGTTATGGCAGTGTAGTGGATGGGTAGTATAGTTAGTGTGTAGGTATGTGTTTAGTGTAGGTATGGTAGTGTAGTGTAGGTGTATGGTTTGTGTAGGGTAGGGGTAGTTGTGTTTAGTGTAGTGTTGGAGTGTAGGTAGGTAGTGTATGTAGTAGTGTAGTATTAGTGTTAGTTATGTAGTTATGGGAGTTGTAGTGTAGTGTGTATTGGTTAGTGTAGTGTAGTGTAGTGTAGGGGGTATGGTATGTAGTTATAGTGTCGTTAGTGAGTGTAGTGTAGTGTAGTGTAGTGTAGGTAGTATAGGTAGGTAGTGTAGTGTATGTAGTGTAGTGTAGGGTTAGGGTAGTTTAGTGTAGTGTATGGTAGTGTAGTGTAGTGTTTGTGTAGTTTAGTGTTAGTGTATGGTAGGATGTGTAGGGTAGTAGGTAGTTGTTTGTATTAGTGCGTGTTATGGTAGTGTTTTGGTAGGTGTAGTTGTAGTGTAGGTAGTATAGTGTAGGTAGTGTAGTGTATGTAGTGTAGTGTAGTGTAGTAGTAGTGTAGGTAGTGTAGTTTAGTGTAGGGTTAGTGTAGTTTAGTGTAGTGTATGGTAGTGTAGTATAGTGTAGTGTAGTGTATGGTAGTATAGTGTAGGGTAGTATAGTGTAGTTTAGTGTAGTGTATGGTAGTGTAGTATAGTGTAGTGTAGTGTATGGTAGTGTATTGTAGGGTAGGGTAGTATCGTGTAGTTTAGTGTAGTGTGTGGCAATGTAGTGTAGTGTAGATAGTAGTAGTGTAGTTGTAGTGTAGTTTAGGTAGTGTATGTAGTGTATGTAGTGTATGGTAGTGTAGGTATAGGTGTAGTTAGTGTATGTATGGTAGTGGTAGTGTAGGTGTAGGTAGTGTAGTGTAGTTTAGTGTAGTTTAGTGTAGTGTATGGTAGTATAGTATAGGGTAGTATAGGGTAGTATAGTGTAGTATAGTGTAGTGTAGTGTAGTGTATGGTAGTGTAGTGTATGGTAGTGTAGTGTAGTGTAGTATAGTTAGTGTAGTTGTAGGTGTTATGGTAGTATGGTAGGGTTAGTGAGTGTATGGTAGTGTGTAGGGTGTATAGTGTAGTTTAGTGTAGTGTAGGCAGTGTAATGTAGTGTAGATATAGTTTAGGGGGTTAGTTTAGTGAGTGTATGGTAGTGTAGTATAGTGTATGGTAGGGTTGTAGTTAGTGTATGGTAGTGTAGTGTAGTGTAGTGTATAGTGTAGTTTAGGTGTAGTGTATGGTAGTTTGGTAGTGTATGTAGGTTAGTGTGTAGTGTAGGTAGTGTATTAGTTTTCAGTTGTAGTGTTAGGTATTAGTGTATGTAGGAGTGTAGTGTAGTGTAGTTTAGTGAGGTAGTGTTAGGTGTAGGTAGTTAGTTAGTGTAGTGTGTAGTATGGTGTGTAGGTAGTGTAGGGTAGTGTAGTGTATGGTAGTGTAGTGTAGTGTAGTGTAGTGTAGTGTAGTGTAGTGTATGGTAGTGTAGTGTAGGGTAGTGTGAGAATCCATACCACCACTGGTCTGGTTCCCAGGAAGTTGAGGTCAGTGTTCTCTCCGAACAGGTATCCCTCTGGGTGGGTGGAGTCAAACCTCTCCCCGCCCATGATGAAGTGGCTGGCAAAGTAACTTCCTGTGGAGAACAGGAAGAGGAAGTGAGCAAACCTGATCCCAAAGATTCCACCTCCTCATATACACAGTAGCCCAATTCTGTTTCTCTCTTTTACATGAACAGAGGACAGTTACAGGAGCTCACTGAGCTAGGTCAAGGTGTTCCAACCCTGGCTCTAGGGAATAGGTACAGTAGATCAGAAATGTCTTGTAATTAGGGTTTGAGGTAAGGTTATCTGATCCTAGATCTGTGTTTAGGGGGCAACTTCTACCTCAAGCTTCTCTCTACACAGTAAAGTCATCTGTCTGGTAGCATGCAGATTAGGGTCATCTGGTCTGAATCAACATGGCTGTTCTGGCTGTTCTCCAACCCCCCTTTGCTGTTCTCCAACTCCCCCTCTGCTGCTCTCTAACTCCCCTCTGGTCTTATCACAGGGACAAAGGTTTTTAAACTCAAACAAAAAAAGTATTATATGGTACTGATCAGGAAATGCCTTTTGTGACACTTCCTGGTGGGGAAACAATGAGAGTTTATGTTTTGAAAGGGTCATAGAAGGGCAGACAGCCAGATACCATTCAAATTATAATCAGCTGTGGGCTACCTGAATGTAGGCCTACCAACTGTCCTTGAATGCCCACTATATATATATCTGCACACACACACACACACACACACACATACGCACAAACGCAAACATGCACACACACACAAATACACACACACACACACACACACACACACATACAGTAATGATGGATATGGAGTGTAAATAGTATGTACTGGTTGCCTAGTTGGCCTTATTTACACCTGAAGTGACAGGTGAGCCCTGTGAGTCAGGTGATTAGGTGACACCAGTTCTTAGAGAGAAGAAACTAAGGCTGAGAGATCCAGGTAGAGATCCCAGGCCATAGCTACTCAGTGTAAAAGCTCAGACACACCGATAGGATTGTCAAACGTTTCCCTGTTGACAGTACTTAGCACCACTGAACAGTGTCGGCAGTCAGTCTCTTTATGTGTTCACACAGCAAAGACCTTGGAAGTCGTCAGCCACTCAGCCTGGTTAGTATACTCCAAACCAGAAGGTGGCAGTAGCATTGTTAGGTAATGCATATCCATGCGTATTGTTTATGGTCTAATTCAAAGCTATCTGCGCTAATGTTGCTATTTTGTAGAAAGCCCTTGTTGATACTAGCCAGATGGCCACAGCTAGATAACTACCTAGGAAGATGACGAAGAAACAATTTAATTCACTCTCCATAATCCCATACTGCCAGTGCCAGCCCATAGCCAAATGTTTAGCTAGCTAGCTAACGTTAGCATATTCGCTAGCTAGCACAACATGGCTATCTAGCTAGCTAAGGACACTGCTCTAACTTGCCAGCTAACACAGGCAGCTGTTTCATGGAAACTAGCTAATCCATTGTGATTGAATTATAATGTCAATACTAGCTACAGTGGTAGCTTGGAGGAAGTATTTAGTGTTGTGTGCATTGCGTCTGTGCACTTAGCTAGCTACATCCCATAGCCTACATTGCATATGAAGTGTGACTGGCTCATCCGTGGATGTACGGATAAAATGCCCTCTTTTTTCCTTTTTATTTGTTGGTTCCCCGATTGGCTCGTGCTCTCTGATTCGCTCAAAGTCAAGTTGTTGGCCAGTGACGAGCATTGCGATTCTACAAGTACAGAATCGATAGGTTAGTCGCTACTGGGTCGGTACACAGCAGGTAGGCCTACCGCTTTTGTTCTAGCAAGAGAAGGAACCACCTCCAAATGTGATAAGTACCTATCGGCAATCTATCAGCAGTGAGATTCTCTGTGTGTTTCATGCTTAACAGTGATGGAAGTGGTTTGGTGATGAGTAACCTTGCCTTAGACCTGAAGACTTATGTTAGCTCCCCAGGCTAATTCCTACGCTTTAGCTCAGCTGATCTGATCTGTCATGACTGGATAGGTGAAAGCATGCGTATGTGAATCCAAACTGACTGCAGAGAATTTGGGAGTTATGGGTTGTAGCAGGGTTCTCTATCCTTGCCCTCTATCCCTGCCCTATGAGGATAGCCAGACACAGAGATTGAGTCTGGAATGGCACCCTATTCCCTAGTGCACTATGCTGCTTTTTGACTGTAACACCAGTATTACACTAGTGCAGGGGTGTCAAACGTCCGGCCCGCGGGCCGGATCAGGCCCGCAAACGGGTTTAATCCGGCCCGCGAGATGATTTTGTAAAGTATAAAAATGAGCTGCAATTTTTCAATAAAAGAAACTGCTGTTCCAATTGTGTCCACTGGATGGCGCAATAGCAATTGTGTTAAGCAAGCAAACTGTTTATACCGGGGCAGAGCAAATAGGTCAAGCAAGTGCAGCCAGTCCGGATGAGCTACTTTGTTTTGCCCGCGATATTTATTACGGCTTCTACTTTTAACATTATGTGCTTTGGCACCCTCATTGCCCCAATATGTCTCTGTCAAAAAAGAGAAAAGTGGACGCAGAGTGCAGAGTGTTCCAAGAAAAATTGTCATCCTTCTATTTATTCACGGAATTGAATGGGAAAGCTGTATGTTTGGTGTGTTCACAGCATGTTGCAGTGCTGAAAGAATATAACCTTCGTCGCCACTATGTGAGTCTTCATGCCGACAAATATGACAACTTTCAAGGACAGTGGAGAAGAGAGAAGGTGAATGAACTGTTGGTGGGTCTGAAGAAACAGCAGTCTGTGTTTACTCACAGCCGAGACATCAGTGACGCTGCAGTGAAAGCTAGCTACCTCATTGCTAATGAAATCGCAGTGGCTTCAAAACCATTTAGTGAGGGTGAATTTGTAAAAACATGCATGATGAAGGCAGCAGAGATTGTGTGCCCTGAAAAGCACCAGGCTTTTGCAAATATCAGCCTGACAAGAAACACAGTTGCAGACAGGATTTCCGATCTTTCAGTGGATTTGGACAGCCAGTTGAAGCAAAAAGTAAAGTCATTTATTGCGTTATCGGTTGCAATTGATGAAAGCACGGACATTACAGATGTTGCACAACTGGCCATTTTCATCCGCGGAGTTGATGACACATTGACCGTCACCGAGGAGTTCGTGGAGTTGGTGCCGATGACAGATACAACGACAGCAGCTGATATTTTCACTGCACTCGTCGGCGCGCTGGACAGGGTCGGAGTGGACTGGTCCCGCGCTGTCAGCCTGGCTACAGATGGTGCGCCCTCAATTATCGGGAAAAAAGCAGGCGTTGTGACAAAGTTCAGAGAGAAAGTGCAATCTGCAAATGGAGGACGTGATTTTTGGACTTTTCACTGTATTTTGCACCAGGAGGCTTTGTGTTGCAAGTCATTAAAGATGGATAACGTCATGAATAAAACAAAGCTGCGCTCAAGGCTCACGCACAAGCACTTGAATCACATCCTGAAGTTGGCTGCCACTCAGGATGTGACGCCTGATATTGATGCGCTGGTGAAAGCTAAAAGATGCCAGGTATCAGGAGTCAAATAAACTATGCAACCCCACTTAAAGTGCTGCATGAGACACCCTGATATAGTTCTGTGATCTGTGATATACTTCTGTGAATCACTGAGGCATTGTGTGTTTGTGTGTTGTTTGTCCTCAGAATTTCAAATATCTTGAGGTGTTTTATGATTAATAGTGATGTTGTGCTTTTGGACACACTGTCCTCAGGCTCCAGCTTTATGTTTATATGTTTTTATGTTGATGTGCTATTGTTTTTAATTGATTTTATTTTATTTGTATATTTAACCTATTCTTGACTCTGTGGTTCTTGCACTTGTTTGGGGAACAGGATTTCATTATTTGTATCTACATTTCTGCCTGAGAAATGACACCCGGATATAGTTCTGTGATCTGTGAAACAGTTATGTGAATCACTGAGGCATTGTGTGTTTGTGTGTTCTTTTTCTTTAGAATTTTCAAATAAACTTCAGGTGTTTTATGATTAATAGTGATGTTGTGCTTGTACTATTTTGGACACACTGTCCTCAGGCTCCAGCTTTATGTTTTATGTTGATAGTATTAAAACAAAGAAAACAATCTGAAGTTGTTGTTTTTAAGTTACAGTGGGGGAAAAAAGTATTTAGTCAGCCACCAATTGTGCAAGTTCTCCCACTTAAAAAGATGAGAGAGGCCTGTAATTTTCATCATAGGTACACGTCAACTATGACAGACAAATTGAGAGAAAAAAAATCCAGAAAATCACATTGTAGGATTTTTTATGAATTTATTTGCAAATTATGGTGGAAAATAAGTATTTGGTCACCTACAAACAAGCAAGATTTCTGGCTCTCACAGACCTGTAACGTCTTCTTTAAGAGGCTCCTCTGTCCTCCACTTGTTACCTGTATTAATGGCACCTGTTTGAACTTGTTATCAGTATAAAAGACACCTGTTCACAACCTCAAACAGTCACACTCCAAACTCCACTATGGCCAAGACCAAAGAGCTGTCAAAGGACACCAGAAACAAAATTGTAGACCTTCACCAGGCTGGGAAGACTGAATCTGCAATAGGTAAGCAGCTTGGTTTTAAGAAATCAACTGTGGGAGCAATTATTAGGAAATGGAAGACATACAAGACCACTGATAATCTCCCTCGATCTGGGGCTCCACGCAAGATCTCACCCCGTGGGGTCAAAATGATCACAAGAACGGTGAGCAAAAATCCCAGAACCACACGGGGGGACCTAGTGAATGACCTGCAGAGAGCTGGGACCAAAGTAACAAAGCCTACCATCAGTAACACACTACGCCGCCAGGGACTCAAATCCTGCAGTGCAAGACGTGTCCCCCTGCTTAAGCCAGTACATGTCCAGGCCCGTCTGAAGTTTGCTAGAGTGCATTTGGATGATCCAGAAGAGATTTGGGAGAATGTCATATGAAACCAAAATATAACTTTTTGGTAAAAACTCAACTCGTCGTGTTTGGAGGACAAAGAATGCTGAGTTGCATCCAAATAACACCATACCTACTGTGAAGCATGGGGGTGGAAACATCATGCTTTGGGGCTGTTTTTCTGCAAAGGGACCAGGACGACTGATCCTTTGTAAAGGAAAGAATGAATGGGGCCATGTATCGTGAGATTTTGAGTGAAAACCTCCTTCCGTCAGCAAGGGCATTGAAGATGAAACGTGGCTGGGTCTTTCAGCATGACAATGATCCCAAACACACCACCCGGGCAACAAAGGAGTGGCTTCGTACGAAGCATTTCAAGGTCCTGGAGTGGCCTAGCCAGTCTCCAGATCTCAACCCCATAGAAAATCTTTGGAGGGAGTTGAAAGTCTGTGCTGCCCAGCGACAGCCCCAAAACATCACTGCTCTAGAGGAGATCTGCATGGAGGAATGGGCCAAAATACCAGCAACAGTGTGTGACAACCTTGTGAAGACTTACAGAAAACGTTTGACCTGTGTCATTGCCAACAAAGGGTATATAACAAAGTATTGAGAAACGTTTGTTATTGACCAAATACTTATTTTCCACCATAATTTGCAAATAAATTCATAAAAAATCCTACAATGTGATTTTCTTGATTTTTTTCCTCATTTTGTCTGTCCTAGTTGACTTGTACCTATGATGAAAATTACAGGCCTCTCTCATCTTTTTAAGTGGGAGAACTTGCACAATTGGTGGCTGACTAAATACTTTTTTTCCCCACTGTATATATACCATGATTTTACCGGTCCGGC